TATATATATATATATATATATATACCAAAATTACTATGCCCTGTTTTTAAGACCAAGCACTCCCAATAAAAATGACTTCTATCATTATTCTGAACCCTAAAAATGAAAAACCAAATTATGTATTTTATAAGAAACTAACTGAAAAACTACTTCATTTATTCATTCATTCACTCACTCATTTCTTCGTACTGGGGGTCGAACTCAGGACCTTGTGCTTGCGAAGCAGGCGGTGGAACCACTGAGCTAAATCGCTGGCCCTTAAGAAATAAATATTTCCAATTCCAGCTCTCCACTTCAAAATAATTAATATATATTTAGTACTAGAGCTTCCAATTAACACACAGGAGCCAAAGTATCTTATATTAGGGAATATGTACTATTGCAGACTTTCTGAAACTTAATGGAGTTTAACCAGACGCGGATACAAACCAGAGGGAGGGAGGAGCCTGTTGTTATTATATCCATTTCTCCAGGAAAGGTAGAATCCTTGTTCCCATTTTAAGGTCATGCTTTCTGACCCTTAAGAATTATGTGTGGAAGATTGTTAACTTCTGAGATCAGTTTCAGACTTGTCTCATTCTTCCAGAGTTAACTTAAAGTCATAAATGTGCGCTTTAATTTAATAACAGAAATAGGCCTTTTTAGACATAAACATTCACAATAATCACAGGTAAACTGCACACAACTGCCAAATATGTGTGAATTTGGTAAATTAGCCTCAAACCAGGCAGATCCAACCACCAACTTCATACCTTATTCTAAGTTATCAAGACTCATGACAAGGGAAAGAATAAAAGAAGAAAATGAAAAGAGAAATATACAATAGTTTTAAAAAGAAAATCTGAAGTCATTTCTTAACACATTTAACATTAAATTATGAAGAAATAAAGGGTGAAGAATGTTTTCTATTGAATATATACAGATGTCAAATGAATTAGACTGATCACTAAAAAGCAAGTATTCTCAGTTACAGAAAGTGTAAGGCAATCAAACTAAAATGAAGATAATGTGAATTTAGAAACATGATGGCACAAGGTATGAATCAATCACATGCAGGCATCTTACTAAAACAGATATTTTCTTCCTAAAATCGGAGAACACAGCAGTATCTAGAAATGTTCTCAGTAAAATTACAAAATCTGTTTCAAGGAAAAAGATGTAGACATATTTTGTTTTCTGTTCCTCAAGCTAGGTAAAATTAACAACCTTGGAAGATATACATCAAATAAATGGAAGACTGAAAGATGGATAGAACAAAAGCATATGGGTTAGGGATTTGAAATTTAAGGGACAATGTGGTACTGGATTTCCTGGGTTTTCTTTTTGTCTCATGTTTTCAGATGAGGAGCAGAAGACCTTGGGTTACCTGAAAACACCAATACATAAAAAAAAAAAAAAAAGAACCAAACTAAAGCAAGCTCTCTTGAGCCAAAGAACCAGGGAAGGGCCAGTATATTAATGCAGAAAACATTTAGACACCATTCTACTCTAGGCAATCACTTGAGACCTCTAGAACTAGCCCCACCCTTGCTGGCCAAGAGCCTAAAGTTCCACCTTCAATATGTTACACCAAGTCACCCCATTATCTGCCCTCAGAATAGTGGTTTCAGTGAAGGTCATGTGGGGTGAACCAGGAACACCTCAATTTAAGATAAAGAGAATATCAATGGATGTCTATGCCAAGATGCCTGGGAAGTCGCCTGTTATAATTATCTGACAGAAACTTTAGAGTAACCATTCTAAATATGTTTCAAAGAGCAATTAAAAAACACATGAACCATTGTTTTAGTAAAGAAATCAGAATTTTCAGAAATCAGAATTTTCAGCAAAGAAATATTAAGACATATATTCCCCCTCTAAAGTAGTGGAGTCACATGTCCACACAGCACTCTGAGAACACTCAATGCTCACCCCTTTCACAGGGCTTACCCCAGTTAACTAACATTGGTAGTGCACAGTAACTCAGACCAAACAACAACCTTTCCGAGACAAAAAAAAAAAAAAAGCCAAGTCCACTTAGTTGGAGGGCTGAGACACAGAATTCAAAACTTGTTTCATATTTGTTAACAAGAATGGATGAGGGTTAACATATTCTTAAATTTAAATCTAAACAAGAAGAATCTTAAAAATGTGATGGATTCTTATCTTGAAATGGACTGATAGTATTGTCTGAAATTTTTAAGTGGTTTTTTTTTCGGTAATATTACTTCTAAATTTATTTGGAAAATTTCTGAAATACGCAAATATTTCCAGACAGTCAGTAAATAAAATATAAGCAGTCCTTTCAGGAACTCTGCTTACGATGTGCTTGAAAGTTCTGACAGCTCATGAATGTGGAGAAAACAGAATTTCATGTAAAAGGTAGAAGGAACCGCTACTCTTTCTGACAAAAGATAAAGAAGGAAAGAGCCATTAGCCTAAAGTGTATGCAAAGCCAAGTACATGTCCTTAAAAATTCAAATTTAGAGAGGGGTTCTCAGAGGTATTAACACAGGTCTTCTCACATTATAAATAACCAGTTATTCATATATTAAGGAAATAAAAATTTGGCTAACTATGTATGCTCCGATCCAACATAATCTCCACGGAGGAAGCAGGAATGACAAATTATCACTGCCGGCATCAACGATCTCCTGATATGTGCAACAGGAAAGCACTATATAACTTCTGTGGTATTTGATCCAACATAATCTCCACGGAGGAAGCAGGAATGACAAATTATCATTGCCGGCATCAACGATCTCCTGATATGTGCAACAGGAAAGCACTATATAACTTCTGTGGTATTTCTGCATTTCTGCATTTCCAAAAATGAAAATTGTAATGTGAATTTCATCATGAGAAAACTGAAAGGGGAAAAAAAACATTCAGGGACCGTCTATAAAACAATCACCCTGTATTCTTCATAAATATCACCATCATGGAACACAGACAAAAACTGACAAATTAGTTCAGAATGAAAGAGGTGACATCATAGAGCATGCGCAGGAGGACTGAGGTCTTACTTCACACAGGCCGAAATCTGGTACCTCCAGGGGTCAGGCTCCCTGAGTCTCCTCTGGTAACTCCTGCTCCCACCTGGCAGCCCACTGCATCCCACCACAGCCACACCAGCAGCTGTGCCCCTGAGAAAACACCTGAGCCAAGGTACGAAGAAGACCCAGACTGGGAGGACACCTGGCAGCAGTTTCTGAGCAGGACAAGAAACTGATTTGCTGACTGCAGGAGAGTAAACTCGGCAGGCCCACTGCAAGGGTTCATGACTCAATCCTGATCGAGTTAAAGAGATCAGGGCCAGGTAAAAAGAAGTCACTTGGAGCTCACTTCCCACTGTGGGTAGGGTCGGGGGGCCCATGCAGAGGAGAAAGTGAGTTCCCTGACAAGGCTCACAGTATCATGCTCACGCTGTGTTCTGAAATTACAGAGCTAGTCTTGTTTATAGATAAAATAGGAGTACTGAGACACATTACTTTCCTAATTTTGATGAAGTGATGCTTACAAATTTTTCAAGTTTTAAAAACACGAGCTAAAAAACACTTTGCCTAAATTATTTTAAAATGAAGAATAAATGTAAGTACAAATAACTTCTAGAATTTTAATTTTTCCTGAACTTACAATTGCCAGAATTCTGATTTGAGCAGCTGTTTATGAATTTTGATTCAAAGGAGATTTCAAACATAAAGGTAAGGGCTCAGATGAATTATTGCAAAAAATTAATATAGCACATCCATCTTCACAGACAAAATGTAACTATAGTATCTATCCTAAAGTTCCCATTGTGTTATCACTTAATTAAGCTCCAGGTTGAATTTCAGTTCCCAAACACTCGAATTTAAACAGTGCACATAAAATATACAGAAAGCACTTCGTTAAATGACACAGCAGAAAGCATTCTTTGGAAATAACCTGATGGAACAAATCACTGTTGATTTTTTTTCTATTTTTTTATTTTTTTGTTGATTTTATTTTAATATAAATCATGATATTTCCTAATTCAAATTTTGATTTTTGAACAGCTTGCATCATACTTTTTTAAAATTTTGCCTAAACAGAGTGAAAAATAAAGAGATGTCTTTGAGTGTAACTAAAACACTTTGACTACTACACAAATAGGATTTCTGGACACATTTCCTTTGTATAGTTCATATGAAATAGTACTTTGGATTATGAATAAATTAGGAATATCCTAACAGCTTAAAAAGCAAATGTGTCATTCTGGATAAACATGAAAAAGAAAAGCTTATGATGACAGGGATATTAAAATCTTAGTATTTTTCAAAAAATGGGACTTTGTATGATCTCTAAGCATAACTTCACTTTATTTAAAATATAATTGGAAAAGCAAACTAATAAACTAGGCAGATACAGTTTTAGACAGAATAGCCAACATCATAATTCCACAGCCAGAATGACTGTTCTTAATGACATGTTGAGTCAAGATGACAGAATTAATATGAAAATTTCATTATTTAGACATCAAAGTCAATAACTTTAGGCTAAAGAATCAACAGCTTTCTAAATTACTAATATTCATTTGAAATTAATCTATAAGAATAATATCAGTGCTCTCATAAATAAGTTTAACAGCATGCTAGACTTAGCAAGAAGCAATAAAAATACACTGGCATTGTACCAACTAAGTTATTTTCTCATTGTATTGCTATCACTTAATTCAGATTTGAATCTAAATATAAAAGCACACATATCAGTATCTGATTTTAAGATACATCATTTGTACTATTATAAATAAAAATTGTTTAAAATTTTAATTTCCAATGATCAGTATCAATGGTCAGTATCAATGATTTTAAGCTAAAAAATATTGTTTAAAATTTTAATTTTGAATTTAAATGCTCATTAGGAACATTTTTATAAGCCTTAAGAGAGAAAAACATGCTATAGTTCAAAACCATTCCCTCATATCAATAAAAGCTGGAAAAGGGAGTTGAGGTTTCTGGTAATTCATTCTCATTCAAAGAATAACCAAATTTATCTCTGTACACTGCAAAATAAGGTAGTGGGAGCCGAGGACTGGGTGACAGCTAATACACTGTGAAGGGCAAATGTTCAGGAGAGGGTCAGCGGTGGACAGCTCCTCACTGACCACCTGGGACCAAACTGGAGAGGTAAGGTCTAAGCCAATAAATCTCAAAATTCAGAATTCATTGGAGGTAAAGAAAGAGTAGGAAAAGAGTTAAAAAAAAAAAACCTGCATACAGAAGAGTATAATGGTTAGTTTAATAAATCTTTGAAAACAACTTTTGCAGTATGTTATATTTTGGAGAAAGATTTTTTGAGATTCATACATCTATCTAATAAATAATACTAGGTTTATTAACATGTTTTTCTATTTTCCTTTTCTTCTCTTCCTAACCCAACCATCCCTGTCTTCTGGTTCCAGAAATGACGTAATATAGAATCACCAACCTAAGATGGCTATTTTTCCAGATACTTTCCTCATAAAACCAGTCTACAGAATGTTTGTCATAGGAAACTAATTTATAATTTTGAGTTCATGATTTACAAAGGATCCTTTCATTTACTTCTTCAGTCACATGTTTGTCTATTCTCTAATGAATTCACTCACTCGTTTATAAACTACACATATTTATACTTGAGAATGTAAGACAAATGCATTTCAATCTCTATTGCTTTTTTTCCAATCCTTCAAGTTGCTCTACAGTGATGACAGAGAAAGTACTGTTATGAAGATTTGGAAGGTAAAACAGGATGCAATGTAAACTAAAAACTGGCTCACAATTTGCTGTTTTCTTTTCTTGCGGACATCTCTAAGATATCATCAAGATGTCATGAGAAAAACCATGCAAAACAAGGACCTAGAAATTTGAAGCTTCTTATAAATTAGGAAAGAAACTCAGGGATTAACTATTATACTAATTATACTGCACTTTCAGATATCATTCAAATCTTGAAGAGAGGAGACTATTTTCTCATTGTGGATTTCCAAAACAGAGAAAACGTCAAAAATAAGGATATCTACTTTTGCAGTATGAAAGCTAGTCATTTTTAAGTACATTAATATTGTTTTTTAATGAAACTTGTTCCATGTGGCTCCAATCTTAGCTTCAAATTAGAAAAAAAAAGTACCTCAAATTGTCTCTATTACTAGCTCTTCAAAATTATATTAAACCCTTGTAACATTTCATTGTATTAGAATTAGGCATTGAATGTAAAATGTATCACTGAAACCAAGGTACAAGACTTTCACTGAATAAATAGTATAATCATTTTCCTTCCTTAGAATGCCACAGGAATTCAATAAAGGCCATAAAATAAGAGTTCAGTAATTATAATACTATTTTATTTTGTTATTTTTAACCTTAGTTGAAACATAAAAACCTTATACTCTCTTTTATAACATTTGGTTCCATGGAATGATTTGTGGCATGCGGCATACTACTACTAGCAAAAGGAAATACCAATGACATCATTTAGCCGTTAAAGGAGATAAGCTCACCTATTAAAGAACAATACTAGCAGTGTTTTATGGTTTCACTAATCTGGCTTATTGAATAAGTGTTGCAGAATATTTTTTAGCGAACACAGTGAAAATGATTCAAACCACTCTTAACTCTCTAAATATGAATGTATGATGATTCAAATGTTTAATAAACCCAAAGATTTATTAGCCACATTACATATTGTTATATTTTGACAAATAGGAAAAAAGTGAAATTAAAAATGATACTGGGGAGGGGAGGAGGGGGTGAAGGGAGGGCAGAGGTAAGGGGAAAAAATGAGAATCAAGACTTGCCATGTAGAGGTACATGATCCCAACAATGAATGTAACTGTACTGTATCCCTAAAATGTACCAATAAACTCAATTAAAGCTGAAAAAAAAATAAATATGTTTCTTGTATACTGCAAAAAAAAAAAAGATATGATCTGGAAATGACACAGCACCATATTTTTTTATAAAATATGCACCATCAGCACAAAGACAGCAAAAACAATTTTAAATTCAGCATAAAACAATCTGCATGTTAACCAAGGAAATACAGATTGATAAAATATTGTCATCCATTTCCCTCAATAGGATACATCATCTATTAGGTATATTGATAACTCATACAAGTAACAAGTACTCTCCCATTATATATTAAAAGAATTAAAAATGATCTATGAAATTTAACTACTCAAATTATTCTTATGGGCAGGATAAAAGCTATACTAGAAACTAGAGAAAAATTAATAATGTGCATGTAGCATGTTGGTCTTAAGTTAGAACACAGCTTGGCTCCTTCATAAGTTAGCTCAATAAATTTCCACAAACTTTGTTTCCTCATTTTTCTCACCTATCATGGGAGAAGCAAAGATTCTGTTCTCACAAAGTTGATGTGAAGGTTAAACAAGATAATTTATATGCAAATAGCAGGTGTCCAGAGCATCCTCAGTGTTAACTTTTTTATTATGAATGTTTTACCCTTTCAATGAATAACTGTACAAACTGCTTGAGGTTTGTTTATTCCTGGAAATATCTTTAACTTCTTATCAAATACACTTGGCTGAACTAAATACAATATAATATGTAACCATAAGTCACATCCGGCAAAAAGCATATCTGGTAGGCTTAGGATCCTAGTCACAGCCAGATGTTGGATTATACAAAACAAAATGCATTCTTTTTCTGCTGTGGCTGACCACTAAACTGAGTAATGTTAATTATCAGAAGGCTTAGCATTTAAGCAATGTGAAAAACATGTTTTGAATTTTATACAAAGAAGCTTCTCAACACAAGAATTTGGTAAAACTAGGGTCAGAATCTGATTCCAAATTATACTTTATGTCTCTCAGTTTAAACAATTTATACTTCAAAGGATTAACCTTCCATGTATATAATATATACATATGTATTATGTATTATATTTTGTATTTCTGTCTCATGACTATATTAGGATCCAAATCAAAGAGAATGTGTGAAAACAGTTTAAAATATATATATAAAATCTCTGAGCTACCTAGACCACAACAAACACAGTTACAATTCCGTGCTGAGTTTACCTAGAATACTTCTCACAGAAATATGTTCTTTTATAAGAAATGTACATAGTTTCAGTAATGTTGATTACAATTGAATATTATTTCTTAACACCAATTGAAAAGTTACATCAAAGCCACTACAGGTTTGTCTTTCTACTTAATCATTTATTCAATGTAAAATCATGATCCATTATACTCTGGAATTGTTTTATTTATTTTTTTTTATTTCTCCTCAATGAACAAGCAGCCTTGGCTCCAGACTGTTGGCACCTAGGACTCACATAAGAGTCTCTCCTCAGTTAATTCATCCCTCTTCATGCAGGTAGGTAAATATTACTAAAAAGTTCTTAGATCAAGTCTAGAAAAGGGTTTAGTAAAGACTTCTAATCAAATGTCCAGCAGAAGCATGCTCGTCCCTGTTTGAGGACTTCTCAGTCTCAGTTGCCTGTCCTTATTCTATCATATTATGTGATATTCTCACATGTATCTTAGATCATAATACAGGGACACCTGCAACACAGTAGAATTATAAAAAGACAAAAAGGCTTTCTATTTGAGTCATTAATTATTAATGTGATAACTTTTGCCTTGATAATTGAAAACTTTTTTTCTTTTGACTGGTATTAGTAGACACCTTCTGCAAAGGACCAAAATGAATGTGGCATTGATTCAGATTAAACTACTTAATGTATTAAGGTTTTTGCAATGCAGAGTGGTGATAAAACATGGTGCATTGAAAGACTGTTGCACTCACTGGCAGAAGCATTGAGAGGTATCCTCTATAACAATAAACTAAATATTAAAACCAGGACAACAAAGTGTCAAATGGCCTGACTATGTATTTTTCTTCAGGGAAACTGCTTTAAATTCAACTGAATAAGTTTCATAGACCACAGATTTACTCTTGTATTCTTGTAGACCAAAAGGTGAGCTGCAATGGGAAAATAGCAAGATACTATTACTCTTCATACTGGAAAACATGAACAAGGTTTTTTACATGAGCTGTTTTTCTTCTCTAGATCATGCATCACTACTGCCTGGGGAGACCCCCTGTAAACCCACCAGGCTGTTAGCTTTCAGTGCTACGCATTACATATATATTCTTTACTCAAAACGCTATTCTTTTCCATCAGAGAAGTTGCTTCACCTCACAATTATGTATTTATTAGGAAAACTGAGTAATATGGTCTTTCGATTGGTATAAATACCCTATCAGAAACTTGTTTATTATTGCAAGCTCTACTTTACAGAGACTGACACAGGATGAATTAAGTCTCCATAAAATATACTTACTGAAGCCCTAATCCACAATATGACTGTATTGAAGTTGGAGCTTCTATGGAAGACATTTCGGTTCAATGAGGTCATAAAGTTTATTAGGAAAACTCGCATCTCCTCTCTACACTAATATTCCTCTCAGTACTTCTGGTCACCAAATGTGTGAGAGTTTTTCTTACACACTAGTTCTCCATATCTCCCAGGTAACAAGCAGTCCCATACTTCAGTTCAATTCCAACCCCATCTGTCTGAGTTTAGCACAAGCCCCACAAGATAAGGGCTCAACCACACAAATCCCTTCCCACCCACCAGGAGAGGAGAAACAGAGCTTCAGTGCCCTCTCCAGGCCTATTTCCCTCCCTGGTGCTCTATCTGGCTACGAAACCCAAAGGGCTCTAAAGATAGTCCTTTGGATTTTGATGGAGTTTTTATGACATAAGCATGATTGATTAAACCATTGGCCACTGGCAATTAAGATGATCTCCTAACCCTCCTTCCAGGTTAGAAGGTGACTGAATTCTCCCACCCTCTAATTACATAGTTGGTTCCCCTTGCCACCAGATCAAATGTGAGGCCATTCGGAGCAAAACAAAAGCTGAGTTATATGCTTATAGCCTGAGAGACTCCAAAGGTTTTGGAAGCAGTGCATCAGGAAAATTCACTTATTAGTTCCGAGATTCCAATGGTTTAGATGTTGTGTAGGAGGACACCATGGCAGAGACTAATTGCATACTTATTGTCTCACAAGGCTGAAGCCCTTATAGGATGAACAGTGTTTAACAAGACACACCAGAGAGCTCTCAAAACCTGTGTGCACCAGGCTGTGTGAGTACAGAGCAGGAAGATATGCCAAGAAGAGAGCCTTGATGAGGGACTTCTAGTCTGTACAGTTGTGACAAAATAAATCCTCCCATTTAAGCCTCCAAGTTACAGTGGCCTAAGCAGATTAATACCATATGTAGGTAAAGATTCGTTTGACAATTTAATAGATTGAATAAATAAAGATGAAAAGACCTTGAATTCATGTTTTGTTTTGTTTTGTTTTTTAAGAAAAAGGAATAGCACTGAATGTAACTTCCTGGAATCTACCAGCCTTTGTTCACAGCACTGAAGGAATGATGTGACTTTTCTAACAAATGAGTGAGAGAAGGGGCAATGACACACCCAGCTGCTCTCCTTTCCTCTCCCATATTTAGGCACTGTTATGGTTTATTCCTAGATGTCCCCATAAAGCCTCACGCACACACAGGTAGGGATTTGGCGGGCAGGGGACTGGATCACAGCAGTGTGATACTCAGCAGTGGATTAGTTCCCTGATGGGTTTATAGCCAAATGTGATGTTGGAAGGCAAAGCCTGCTTGGAGGAGGTGGTCACTGGTGGAGTGGTATGGAAGGGTCAGTCTCCTTCCCTCCTCCCTGGATCAGTCTTCACTTCCTTCTGCCATCCCATGAGCTGTTTCTGCCATGATCCTCCTCCTTGTCACCCTGCTTTGGAGCCAGTTGGCCATGATCCGAAAGCTCTACAAACTGTGAGCCAAGTGAACTTTTCCTCATTTAAGTTATGGGTGTTAGGTATTCTCTCTCAGGAATGAGAAAGTGACAAAGATGCACCCAAACACCCAAAGGAAACAAAATTTTAATTTTTAGTACTGTTAATTTTAGTAGGGTTAATTTTTAGTAGTGTCACTCTATCTAGGGAGCCATGCATATATCCTAGCATGGCTGACACTGCCTCGTCTCGGGATGTGACACAGGAGCCCACTGTAGCCATGTGTACCAACTACATTTTGCAATCACCTTACTCATAGCTAGATCTCATCAACGGAAAATCCTCAACTCAATTAAAATTCATACACAGGAAAGTGTGTTACATAGTGGACCCAAGTAGATAATACTGCAACTATTTCAAAGTGGAATGGAATATCAGATATTCAGATGTTCGGGGAAAAATTGTTTAAATATTTCAAAGCATGGGATTTGATAACTAGATTTTGTCATGCAAGTAAATTATGCAAAAATGATATATAAATAAACAATCATTACCTCAAGAAAGAAAGCTGACCCTTTCAAAAGGTTAATGGAAAAAAGGTTAATAGTCTGTTACATAATATTAAAGACTGACACATTTGAATTCAACCACACATCAGTATTCATAGAAAAGAATTGAATTCCCATTACGTGATATGCGTATACTCTAGCTTTTTGAAATATATCATTAGAAATATTAGTCTGATATTTTTACATTTACAGATAAAATATATATCCTTTAGTTTATTTCCAACAAAACTATCATACAGCATGTGCTTCTTAGTAGATAAATTTAGATAAAAGATGAAATTTAGCAAAATGAAACCATACTTGTTGCTCAATAAAGCACTACTTCAACACAAGAGAATTCCTTATTTGAGTAGGTATCTTTTGTTTCATAAGGCAAACATTTCTCAGTCGTGCTGGTATACATATTTACCTGTACGAAACATAAAACTTTCCACTAAATATCCCATTTTACCTAAAGTGAAACAAAAAAGGTAACAATGATTTAATGATTATTATTATCCCCTTCCTGACTAGAAATTTTTAAAGGACAATTATGCACCAAACGCACTGCATCTCTAGTGACCAAAGACAGCTACTGCAACTATTTTCACTGAAACAATCCTTTCACAAATTTAGTGTTTTATATATTCTGAATTAAACAGTCTCATTTAAGGCTTAGGACTTCTTTCACATTGATAATAAAAACTCACTTAATAAGACATTAAATAGGACCTTAAACCTAAGTGAAAAGGTAGGAAAATAGAAGTATTATAATTGTTTCCAGCAACTTTTAAAAATTTGTTTTCAGTGAGAGCAAAAAGTCTTTCTTCCACATGAATGTCACAAGCTCCCAAGGTCAGAACCAGAGGTTACTTTAGAAAAAAAAAATGTTTAACAAAAAAAAACTAGAAAAACAATCATTTAAAATATAATGAAAACAGCACATTCACAGAATTATAAGAATGCTCAGTGTACGACAAAAAGACATGATATACCATTAAGCAAATGTAATTAAGGACAAGGGAACTGTATCCCCCCCACACACACACACTTTTGGGTAACTTTAGCTGCACATATGGAGCATTTTGTTTCACTTCTGGTTTACTTTCTTTTAATCAGAGACCCCCACTGTAATGCCTTCACACAGGGCTCAGTGTTGTGGTTACCATGGAAACCATAATTCTGAATGTCCTAACTTGTGCGATTAAAATTTTAACACAAAGTAACATTGATAGTCTCCCCCATTTCCACTACCACCAATATACAATTCTAATTAGGAGCACAATGACTGGTTTGGAAGGCACAAAGAGCTGCGGCCACCCCAGCATGAACTGCCAGTTATTCACAAGGTGTCTCAGAAACAATATATAGTGATGGTTCTCTGTTATAAAACGCCTGCTTTAAACACAGCAATTAATTCTAGTTGACTGTCTCTTCACCCCTGGAAAGTAAGAATATCATTTTGCTTTTTTTATATACTGTATAAGATTTTTGTCAATTGTAATTCTTTTTATCACATGCCTTTTCAACTAGAGTAAAAGTCTGATATAATGATCTAATATACTAAGGTAATAAATGAAACTATACAACCACTTATGATAATTATAGTCACTTCTAATAATTATACTGTCCTCTGCAACATGAAATTAACCCTTCCAGAAATGATAATAGTAGTAGTAGCAGTAGTAATAATAATAATAATAATAATAATAATAACAATAATAATAATAATGGCATGACATAAGCTAAGGGACTTAAAATGAATTTTAAAAACTGAACTGTATTTTTCCCATTTTCTTCCTTTATTGATGAGCACTATCCCAGGGACTCATAAACTCTCAGGACTGCATTAAGGAAATACATTCCTCCTTGATGATTATTTTGACTTGCTGAAAAAATGACCATGCATTATCTCAGAGGCCTTCCTGCCCTGATCTTCTGGTTAGATACTCATTGCCTCTGCTTTAAACACAAATTTATTGCATTAGTCAACACATTTTAAATTTGGAAATTAGGGTCATTCTGATGGCTTCTTGTTCACCTTATCATATATAAGAATGAACATGACGACATTCCTCCCCACTCCTGAAATGCCAAAGAAATAGTTTAAGTGTAAAGAGAAAGAGAGAAGATTATCAGTATTAAACAGTTACGGTCAGGAGAGCACCTCAGTGTGTAAGTCCAACACTTTCCACTGTTAGAGTGAAAATTGAGCCCCATGGGGCTCACATGAAATCTTCAACACATTTGGTATTAGAATGAGTGCCAGTCATTTTTTATGTATATTGAGTATTATTAATCATTTAGTAAACAGCAGTGGTGTTCCTCTTACTGTTTGCTAACTTTTTTCTGCTTTTAATTACAAATTTAAACAAATTTTAATATTTGATACACAGCATTTGTAAAACAGACCTTAAAATGATGAAATAGGAATATAAATAATTATGTTCTGTATTACTGTCTGATTATATAATTCATAACATTTAAAATTGTATTTTACAGTCAAAATATACTGTATTTAAGATTAGATCTTTTGTAATAATAAAAATTTTAGAGTCAAAGCTAAAAAACAGCTAATTTGCTAATTTGCTAATTACTATTAGCTCCTACTGTGAACAATATTTTAAAAATCATCTGTATCCCTGAGAGTTTCACATGATTCATTAAAAAATTTTACATTTTAACTAAAGCTCTGAGTATTAACTGAAGTAGAAAAATTTTACTATCCACATCAGTTTGAACTTTAGATAAATAATAATTTCAATGATTTCTAAACCCACAATTTCCAGCTCCATATACTTTCTACTTACAAATACAGGATTGTCCTGTTGTATAAGGTCCATTCCAGACTTTTATTTCTAATTAGAATACATGAATAAATTCAACCTAGAGGAAGTTATGGTTTCCACTACAGTTAAAAAGAATGAAGATGGAAATAGGACTAGGTACATAGAGAGCAAAAATGAAGCATGGATGGTTAGGGAGACACAACTGCAGAAAGAGAAAAGATCCATGCAAAAGAAAGGATGACAATTAAAAAAGAGTATTCCTTTATTTCACATAACCTACATCTGGTCTAATCTGGTTGCCTAAATAAATATTTAATTCTGAAAGATCCTTTGGATATGTCAGATCTTTTTTCAGGAGTAAACCAATGAAGCAAAATATGGAAAAGCAAAAAAAAACAAAACAAAACAAAACAAAACACACACACAATGGTGCTCTATACCAGAGTACATAAATTAAATTAGATGATTAATCAGCAACAGAAGATGTCAAAAACTTGAATACCCAGAAAACATTGGGAGCCCAAAAAAAGGCAAAATGCAAAACATTACATTATAAGGTAATGTTGATAGCATCACCATTAATTATTTTTTAAGTTTGTAATTAATAGCAGAAAAAAATAGTTAACAAATAGCAAGAGAAACACCACTATCCAACTTTGGCTGAAGATTTTAATATAAAAACCTTTCCCACGCTTTAAATGTTAACACACACAAGAAAAAAGATATTGTAACTCATGTCAGTTGGAAAAAAAATATATCATTCAAGGTAGACTGTAGGGCCATATATTGTCGATACATTTACAAAGACTATTTTCATCCCAGGATGAAGGACCTACTAAACGGATTTTTTCTTTTTCTTTTTCTTTTTTTTTTTTTTTCTCTCATTGAGTTTTTTGGTACATTTTAGGTATGCAATACAGTTACATTCATCATGGGGATCTTGTACCTTTACATGACAGGTCTTGGTTCTCATTTTTTCTCCATACCCCTGCCCTCCCTTCATACCTTTTTACCCTCCCCATTTACAAACATTCTATTTCCATTTTTTCATTTTCTCATATTTTTCCCTTATTACCTTTCCCCTACCTTTCACCCACTTTCTCTACACCTTTAGCCCTTTTCTTCCTATTTCACACTGTCAATTATCTCATTAGTATCTTATGTACTATTAAAGTTTTTCAC